AGAGTACAATTATAGGTATACAATACAGATACAACATAGTTACAGTTTACAATATAATCATTGAGTCTTTTTCCCACTTTTATCTACTAAGTTTAGATATTTTGCAAATTTTGTGATTGTACAAGAATTTGCTTTAAAAATAATACGTTTCTATAGATGTCATTACATTTCGGAAAGATAAGTATATAATGGGAATGTATTTCTTTCATTGTTCTATGAAAGCTTAGCATTTAAATAAATGATGAAATTCATCTGCTATTCCAGGTGATTGCAAAAAATGGTCCATCAAAATTAGAACCACTTTTGCAGTTAACCATTCTTTTGAAAATGGATGTGGATATTAAAAACAATGCGGGATGCCACAAGTTCTTAAAATGTCTCTAATGTAATTTAACCAAGGATAAGAATACCCGCTACAGGAATTCAGTGTCTTGTGCGATGAAACAACAACCTGGGTGTTAACTAAGCCTATTTACAAACAGACCCGTGAAGATCCGGGGTAGAATAGGTCTTCAGCAACCCATGCTTGCCACAAAAGGCGACTATGCTTGTCGTAAGAGGCGACTAACGGGATCGGGTGGTCAGGCTCGCTGACTTGGTTGACACATGTCATCGGTTCCCAATTGCGCAGATCGATGCTCATGCTGTTGATCACTGGAGTGTCTGGCCCAGACTCGATTATTGACAGACCGCCGCCATTAAGCTGGAGTATTGCTGAGTGCAGCCTAAAACTAAACTCACTCACTCACTATTTACAAACAGAAAGGTGATGTAAATAATCCTGAAAAATGTAGGCCAATAACGATATTGTCAAACCTTGGAAAGCTTTTCACTTCTGTTATAAGTCATCGCCTTAGAACTTTTCTTGATGATACTGATATATTAAGTTAGGCGCAGGCGGGTTTTCGAAAGGGGTACTCTACTTTAGATAATATTTTTGTTTTAAATGGACTAGTTGATATACTTAAATCTAAAAAGAAAACGTTTTATAGTGTTTTTATACTATAGTGTTTTTGATAATGTCTAGCGTGTGGGACTTTGGCAAAAATTATTAAACTCGGAATTACTGGGAACGTTTCAAAGGTCATTTATAATGTGTATGATAATATCAATGATTCTACCTATTTTGACTGTTGTAAAGGCGTTCGCCAGGGAGAAAAGTTACCACCTCTCCTTTTTTCATTGTTTATAATGATGTTGAATCATATTTAGCGACTACAGCATGTGAGGGTGTAGACATTGATGATATATTTTGATTTTTAAAGATTTTTGTACTGATGTATGCTGATGACATGGTCTTATTTGCTGAAAGTCCGGATGAGTTACAGCGTAGTATTAAAGTCTTTAGAGAATATTGTGTAAAGTGGAAGCTAAAATTACATATCGAAATGACTAAAGTAGTCGTATTTGGCTCTGGAAGTGCAAGGGTGAATTTTCAAAAAAAATATTTTAATGACGTTCATTTGAACATGTCTGACACATGTATTTACCTTGGAATAAATTTTCATAAGAATCGGAAATATAATGCTGCCATTAATTGAAAAGTTAGAATTAGTTCATAGAATTAGTTCTTTATTAAGAAGGTGCTCCATTTACGTAAAAGTACCCCGGCTTATATGTTATACGGCGAGACTGGACGCCTGCCTTTAAGTATTAATGTCCAAACAAGAGTATTATCCTATTGGTGTAAACTTGTAGATAATGAAAACCAAAATAAACATATTCATAAAGTGTACACTAATTTATTAGCAGTTGACAGTTTTACGGAATACCAGCCAGCTTGGCTACATTATGTTCAATCTATTTTAGACGATTGTGGTTTATCATATATCTGGTATAATCAGAAGTGTATTAATGGGAATTGGCTCCTCTGTTAAGTTGAACAAATTCTAACAGATCAGTTTATAACACAAGGTAAAACATACGATTGTATAAAACCGTTTTTGGTGCTGAAGACTACATTCTATTACCATTTAGAGTTTCACAACCTCTTTTGAAGTTGAGAACTGGTAACACTAGGCTCCCTGTTGAAGTATGACGCTGGCATCATGTGCCTTTTAATGACCGAAAGTGTTTGATGTGTAACTCCGGTGAAGTGGGTGAAGAGTACCACTATAATTTTGAGTGTAATTCTTTATTAGCAGATAGAAACAAGTTATTACCAAGTATTGTTGTCTCTTTGTGGAAAGAAATTACACAAATGTAGATAAGCTAAGCAAATATATTATGTGTATTTATGTAAAACTTTCAAAATTTCAATGATTTTGCCTCATACCAATATTACTGTATCTCTATAACTGCACTATTTACCACTGTGAGTGGTCTTGGTGAATAAGTGAACTGAACTGAACAAACTGCCGTAGACCCAGCAGATTTACAGATTGCTGCCTCCGAACACATTCCACTAAAAGTGAACCACCTCTGAGGCGAGTAACATTTTTAACCTCGGATGCCTTTGGAGAATACTGAAGGGTTAAGTTTGAAAGGACTTCCGTCTGCAGCTTCCATAACCAAGAATTTTGGCCAGAAATCACCAGATTGAGGGATGTACTTCTTCATCCTCAGAAAAGGAAAGATGTCTTCATTTTTTTCCCTTCAACTGAACCAGAGTGGAAGTTATGAGCTATAGTATAGCGATGTGTGTCATCAACCCTGCTTCCCAGCCGCCATCGAGAGTCAACATGGACCATGTTGTAGTGGAAACCATCTTGCAACAGCAGGGCTACAAGGGTGATATACTCAAGCAATACAGACATGAATACCTAAGAAATCTGAAAGACGAAATGCTAGGCTAGTTCGACCTACGACATATATCTTGAGACATTATAGGTACTTTAAGTGCATGCTTTTGTTTAAGTCACATCTGTTTGCATATCGACAGACAGAATTAATCCATGCACATGACATGACCAGCCGATTGATAGATGCGGGCCCATTCTACCACCTGTCTAGGTGAAGTAAGGGTAAAAGAAGTGTTTTTGGCAGAGGAACAATATTCCTGGAACCAGTGCTCTCACCAACCAGACTCCCGTCCTCCACCGCCACAGGGGCGCAACCCATGGTTGCCCAATTCGGTCGCCTCTTACACCCAGCAATGGGGTGCTGTGGACGCATTCTGTCCCGGGACCACACGGGGGGAAGAGCTGTTAGCGTTACCCAGCACTCACCACAAGGAGGTTGCTCTTCGCGAGTGCCTGGAATATAAGGCAAGAGCTGTAATTAAAATAACTCGATATTGGAACACATAATTTACGACAACATTCTTTGAACTTAGATATTGGATATATACTGAGTCAAAAAAGAAACTTCACATTCTTTCTTCAGGGCACTATAAAAGAACAAGAGATGGTAAGATGGTTAAATTGTTATTATTTCATTGCTGCGATCTGTGTGATGTACTTGATACACTGACAGTGCCATAATCAGTTCCATTAGGCTACACCGCCGTTCCAAAACATGGGTATACAGAATGTCAGGTCACAAGAATAAAAATGCGAAATGTCTCAGTTCAATATCGTGTATGGCCGCCCCGCGCATTCACCACTGCCAAACACCGTCTCCTCATCGACTGCCTGATGCTTGTGAACACGTGGTTGGGGATTCTGCGCCATTGCTCTTGCAAGGCAGCGCCAAGTTCCTGTAAATTCTGAGGTTGGTTCCTAAGACCACGAAGCCTTCTCCCAAGTGCATCCCAAACTTTCTCTATTGAATTAAGGTCAGGGGACCTCGATGGCCAGTCCATGACGTTGATTCCAGCGTTTTGAAGGACATTTCGTGTCAACATCATGCTGGAACTGTAGACCTGGGCCATGAGCAGCTGTGAGGTTTCCACGGATGACCAGAAGTCGGGAACGGTTGTTCCCACAAAAAGCACCCCACACCATGCAACTTCCGCCCCCGAATCTGTCGACTTCCTGTACACAACATTGGGCATACCGTTCACGACGTCGTCTCCAGACTCTATGCCTACCGTCCGCGAATCTGAGGGTAAACCTGGATTCATCACTAAAGACGACTCGATTCCAGTCTCTCTGGGTCCATCGGAGGTGACGTTGGGCCCACAGCAGACGTTGACGTTGATGAAACGGCGTCAATATTGGCCCACGATATGGACGTCGAGAATGGACATTGGCAGCCCGCAACCGATTTGGAATGGTCTGTGAGGACAGTCGACCTCTAAACATCTCAGCCCTGGTTCGTGTAGCCGTCAGAAATCTGTCACGTAGGTGACGTAGGACGATTTGACGGTCTTCTGCTCGTGACGTCACACGTAGACGACCATACCTTCGGCGATCAGAAGTGGTGCCAGTTTGATGTAGACCACCACGCAAGTCATACACAGTACGACGGCTGCATCTCTTTGCTCTTGCGACGTCAATAACTCATCTTCCAGCTTGCAACATGCCAACGGCACGTTCACGTTGCACATTTGACAATCGTGGCATTTCAAGTACCGTTAGAACTGTGGTTTAAAAGTGTTTTAGCAATACGTGCATATGAAGAAAACTTCGATGCGAAGATCACGTGATCGACTGCACGTGCAAAACCTGATTTGGCACTAACGTCATTTGCACGACGAATGGATGGGTTTGAGTGGGTTTTGCTAACGTTTTTTCTAGAGTCGATAGATAGGGATCCCATTTTGGATACATAGATGTATCATCAGAGAAAAATTATTCATTATTTTTCAAATTACATTTTGTAAAGTTTCTTTTTTGACTCAGTATATATTGTAACCTAATAAAAGGTTGATTTGTGAAAAATGAGCGTGTATAGAATAATGCCAGGCTGAAAAGAAAATGCAATTCAAATGGTTAATGATCATGTCCAGAAATTCAATCTCAAATGTCACATTGACCAAAGATTAAGCATTCCCAGTCACCGTATGCTACCATGTACCAACCTATTTAGGTCTTCTAATTATACAAAGCGATAACTCGTGCACGAAGTATAAGTCATTTCCGTGACTACTGTGGTCCACCTTGTAGATATATATAACATAGTCTGTACAAAATGCCCTGCTATTGTCACGAGCCACGGTATATAAAAGCAGAGGTAGGGGATACCTGGGCATTCATTCATCCACAATGAAGGCAGCGTTTCTGATTCTCCTCGTCTCTGCCCTGCTCATTGGGTCAGCATTTGTCGGTGAGTAATCGGAGGTGGTGGGGTAGCCTAGTGTTTAAAGCGTTCGTTCGTCATGCCGAAGACCCGGGTTCGATTCCCCACATGGGTACAATGTGTGAAGCCCATTTCTGGTGTCTCCCGCTTCAATATTGCTAAAAGCGACGTAAAACCAAACTCACTCGTTCACGGTGACTATTCCAACAGCACTATGTTTAGTGTAGACAAAATAATACAAACAGGGTGTGAATCGAATGTTTATTTCACGTGTAAAGAACATAATAGAAGAGCTTTATTCAGTATTTATGTTAAAATGACCAAGAGTACAATTCAATAAACAGAATATAGCACATGTACAGGTGAAAAAAATACAATATATACAGGAAGATATAGTTTAAGTTAAATTGCAATATTTTAAGAGTTTTACATTCTTGGTTGTATGCGACAGATTAAACTTTTATCTGGTTGGATATATAATATATAATCAGGAATATACAAAGAGCGGAAGTGTGGGAGAGAGACACGAGGGTGAGATTTTATTTATCATCCAAAATCATTCTTCATCAGTTATCAGTAAAAGAATGAATTTATCTGAACACAAAACTGACATTCGGCTTCTTGAGCAGTGATCGCAGTGAAGTCATAGCATTGTGACGTCATCAGTTTCATAGCATTGTGGTGTCATCAACTTGGTGACGTCATATCATCATCTATGTTTTTTTAGTGATGTCAAAGCACTGTGAGGTCATTAACTGATGATGTAATAGCAGTATGACAGTTCAGTTGTTACGATATCAACAATGTAGATATCGATTGATCTCACACAAGCGATATCTACTGTGGGACCCAGTTTTGGATCCATAATACACACTCACACACACACACATGTGATATTATCTAAAATCAACCACTTATATGAACATACTGGCATATCCATTCGAATTTACTGTCCATTACTACACGGATAAGCAGTTATATGATGTTTAGGTGCTACGTATACATGTTAGAGTTTACTATTCTAATTCTACAGATGATCACAATAACTCACTGAACTGTGAGTTCGACTTCAACTATAAATATTTTTATTTTTATTTGAAATTTATCATACTTCATCATTTAAGTTCAAAATACACACACACACACACACACACACACACACATACATACATACATACATACATACATACACACATACATACACACACACACACACACACACACACACATACATACATACATACATACATACATACATACATACATACATACATACAGCTGCTCAAAGGCGCTTTGTGTTCCCTCGATCATTGGATGTCAATCTCAAGGGTGCATCGTATTTTCAATCTCAACTCCCTGGGGAATGAACAACGATGTTAATCAAATAACTACACGGATGATGCGCTTCTGTGTATTGTGATATGTGGTATAGGCATGGCCATGACGTAAAACTTCCGTAGGTAGAATGGTGATTGTGTTTTGAAACATATGGGTGTGGTGGAATGAATTAGTCACTGCTATTGCATGAACATAATATGTTCACAGATTTGACAGAGACAAGAATTATGATTTGACTACTTTGCGATAAAATGCATTTGTGGTCATAGACATTTTCAGCAAACACTTTGAAGCGATTACCGGTAGATGTTTTTTTACCGAGATATGGTGTTCTCAAAACCAATTACAATAACGTGTATGACTGACTGTTAACAGATGCAATTCCATAAGCGTATAACCATCTGAGTGCCGTTATACAAAGCGATCTTAGCGCTGTGATGATCGTAACTCCCATACTTTAACATATACATGTACTTACGACTGGCGTAGCGCTGAGATGATCGTAACTCCCATATGTTAACACATACTTACGACTAGAGTAGCGCTAATGTTCCTTTTTACAACGGCTTCACTTTCGTTTCTGTCTTATGACCTACATCTACATTTCTGTATTACAGCTGATGCGCAATGCAATGGGATTTGCACCCGCGACAGTGACTGCAATCACTGCACCGGTTGTGCCAATGGAGGCGAATGTGTCCGCCGCGCTTCCGAGGCTTCAGGGAACTGTTCGTGCCGCTAGTAAGTAAAGCAAGTGACTGAATGAATGAATGATTTGACCTTTAAATCACTACATGTCTTATAGAGTTGTTCTTAGATATCTGTTGTCCTATCAAAATAGCAACAATTACAATTGCCGATGTGACTTAAAATCTTAACTCTATCACTCTCACTCAAAAATTACATTAGGCATTAAGTGTTTATTTATTTTATTGTATTTATTTATTTATCTTCATATAATTTTTATTTTATTTTTATTTCTTTTATTATATATTTTATTATTATTATTTCTATTTATTTATTTCTCTTAATTAATTTTTTAATTTTGTTTTATTTATCTATTATTTGTTTTTATTTATTTATTTATTTTATTTTATTTATTTATTTTTTTTGGGGGGGGGGATTATAATATTGCGTCACTCATTATTTTAATGTAAATTAAACAGGTAATGGAAATCAATTTATTTACAATGGGTCTTCCAGGGTCGTTCTTCAGTAGCTGTTGCCCTGATAACATATCCACGATTTTGCATTTTATGGATTTTGTTCCAGATGTTGTACCCAAGAAAGGGATGCTGAAAAAGCTGTCACTTTGTAATGAAGTGTAATAAATTAATGAAAGATAATTTTGTTCTGTGTTATATTCAAGAGAGATTTTGTTTGTATGTTTAACGCCCTACTCGGCAATAATCCAGCTATATGGTGGCGTTCTATATATAATCGAGTCTGGACCAGACAATCCAGTGATCAACAGCATGAGCATTGGGATACGATCACAAGTCCTCGTGTCTTTGCGAGGATTAAAGAATTAACAAATACTGTTTTTGAGATGACTCCCCGACTCAAAAGGCTTCACAGTACAATACATTATGACAAGGCCGGACACTTCGGTGCACCCCACCCGCCTGCTTTGCCGATCGCTGCGCTACCATCGCATGCAATCGATTAAAACTTAATGTAAACATAATCATGGAGGATTGGCCTATCAAGCACCACTCATGACACCTAACAATTCTTTATAACAAATCTAAATATTGCATGTATTCATTGTATTGTATATATCCTTTTGTATATATCGTTCTATCCCTGTACATATAGTTTGTTTCACTTTTGCATGTAAGCACTGTAAATAGGAGAGGGTTTTACTAAGCTGGCATAACTTGTACCGAATCCATTCTCTTGAATAAATATGTTTAAATCAAAATAACAACTCTTTATAGTTATTTCTGCTAGTCGATTGAAACCCGATTTTGACTCGTTAACTAAACGTTCTTGACACAAATGGATGACGATATATCCGCACAAAACGTGTGTGAGGTCGAAGTAAGCCATCTGGTTGGTTGATGTATATCGCAAGTTCTGGCTACACGCAAACACCCCCTATTGACCACGCATATAGAAAATATCATCTTCTTCTTGAAACTAGTTTAAAACGCCATTATTATATTGTGAGGATCCATGTTGCCAAGGATCGTCCAAAACCTGGAGGACTGAGGAAGAACAATGACAGAAAAGACCGAGTCCTGATTCGTCTGGTAAGACACAAATGCATGACCCATGACGAAAAGTCCAACTCTCCACTAGGTCCATCAGGAGGAAGCTGCTGGATGCTGTTCTGAGAGGACGTCGTCTGATCCTATGTCCATTCCGCACAGATAGGCAGGAACGTCCGGCGTGGGCCAGGCTCGGAGCCAACCACAACTTGAGGACATGACGTAGGTTACATTAGTTGGATGAAAGTAGCTATCTTTTCCCCATGACCCTTGACGAAGAGTCCAGTTCTCCACTAGGACCATCAGAAGGAAGCTGTGGGCTGCTGTTCCGAGCGGGTGATGTCTGATCATGTGTTCATTCCTCGCAGATAGTAGGGACCTAGATCATTCTCAGAGAAAACTGCAACTTGAGGACATGACGCAGGGTTCATTAGTTGGATGAAAGTCGCTATCCTTTTCCCATAACCCATGACCCGTGGCGTAGATTCATTGGTCTGATTTCACGTGACCGATGGTCATCGTTGACGTACTGAGACGTTGTTACGAGGTATATCCACAGATGATCCACACAGCTGAACCCTTACTCATAGTGGCTGACTGATGGAGTGGGTTTGCCCGTCCTGACTGCAAAGTGGATTTCGTTGCAGTGCTTGGTAAATAATGCTCAACGTTATTAATAGAAAGAACTAGATGGCACCGCCGTGACACATTTTTATAACCATTATTTTAATAACAAAAGTACATGTAACACTTCAACCGCTACACGTACACTGATAGGAAAGTAGCTTCAAGTATGCAAGATCGATGAAGGCGTCATGGCGTCGGATACGAACATACACACATTCCTACTTTGATCAATGTCACATTTCAGTCATTCTGAAAACATATATGTATACTGTTCCTATTTCCTACTCAGTGTGTTAAACTACAAGAAGTCTGCTTCTCCCTCTTTGAAAACTAACAATTTAGATAATATTCAGAATTATGATTAAACGCTTTGTTGATAAAATATGTTCCAGTTCCAGCCTATGTCCTCACGTTATCGTCGCGAGAGGTCTACCATTTAATATTATTGGAGTAATGTCTGGGGTACCTAAAGTCGTACAGTAAAATATGGCTATAACGAACGCAAAGGGATTTAGTTCGCGAATTCATACAATTTTTCACATTTATTTTCAGTCTATGAACCAGACAAATGCACAGACAATCTTCATAACAAAATGAACAATGAACAAATATATTATCTACAATGATTTTATCTAAAACAATTGTGTAAATCAAAGAAATATTGAATGGAAGCCTTAGGAATACATTCTGCTGCTTGATGCGTAAAGGGTGACTGATTATTTCTCGAGGGGAACTGGGTTTGATGTATCTCTGTACACTTAGCGTGTACCATGAGAAGAAAGCCTACAACGATTTGTCATCGCCATGTGTATCATTTTCTACCAATTTGAAACAGATTCCGGAGCGTTTGTCGTGAATGCGTTTGTCGCCATATCGTTTGAACTCTCTGCATTCTGTATAATGTTAATACATTTTTTGTTACGCTGTCATATTCTTGAATTGTAGGGACTTTGGAGATCGAAAAGGTCTGTTGCCAAAACCGGTCATATTCGTGTTTCCAGTTTTAGACTCCTTAGCATGCTACATGAAAGCTTATCAGAACACCACTGACCAATAAGATACAAGCATTTCACATGTCATGTAAAATGAGAGAAACTGATAAAAAGCATGAGTCAATGAGCTTGCAATTAAGGCGCACGCTGTATCCAGCTTATGTTCGTTATATACCATTTTATTACGCTAAACATGGAGAATTTGGCTGCATTGGAAGCTTTTGTCGTTGAGTTGACCAGAAGTGTCCCGTATCTTTAGAATGCAGCCTTTAGCTCTTATCTTACAACACCATGCGTATCAGAGTTTCTCACGACACCTTGCGTATCAGAGCTGTGTGTGATGGTTTACCAATGTAGGGATCATCATCATCATCATCAACTAAGAACTTATATAGCGCAAGAATCCAGTCAGTATAACTGCTCAAAAGCGCTTTGAGAGGATGCATGTCACATGTATCAGCAAGGTCCACTCGGTCTAGGCGTATGTCTTTGAGAAAAGGTGGGTCTTGAGATTGGTTTTAAAAGTGGCCAAGTTATTTATAAGTCTCAGTTTTATTGGCAGATCATTCCAGAGTCGTGGAGCTGCTCTGGCGAAGGATCGATCTCCATAGGTGGTGGTCTTTGCGTGTGGAACACACAGCATGCTTTGTCCAATGGATCTAAGAGACCTGGCTGGCTTGTATTCCTGGAGGAGTTCCTGGAGATACACAGGGGCTAGGCCTGTCCTTGCTTTGAAGGTTAACAGGAGCACTTTATAAGTGATTCTGTCTGCCACCTTCAACCAATGAAGTTTTTTTTAACACTGGAGAAATGTGGCTGTCTTTCTTTGTCTTTGTCACAAGTCTAGCTGCACAATTCTAAACGCGCTGCAGCTTTGCAATCAATTGCTTTGGTAGTCCAATTAGAAGAGCATTGCAGTAATCTAAATGGGACACAACACAGCACTGAACAAGAGATGTTACGGTCTTTAGATTTACAAATCGACGTATTTGGGCAATGTTTCGGATGTTAAAATATGGGATGGATATTTGTTACATTCAGTTTATATACACACATGGAAATTAATTAAGCGACACCCAAAACATTTTGTAATAATTTTGTACCTTTTTAAATATGATGTTTTGATGGTGTACAGATTTTGAATGGCGTTTATTTAACGAATGTTCAGTTTGGGGAAATACAACTATCGCGCGAACACGACATGACATGCATGGAATTCAAGGTACCCACGTCCCCCGCAAAAAGCACTTTCAATCGGATGTGCCAAAAGGTATAAAATGAGAAACATTCGTGATAATTTACTCAGAATTTATCAGTATGGCACGGCGGCGATATTCACAAGCGAAGAGATGGGAAATTATTGGCATGAATAAAACAGGAATGTCCCCCAGAGTGATTGGTCGTCAGCTGAACATTCATCACTCTATCATTAGCAGATTTGAGAGAAACTTCATCGCCATCGACGATGTGAGAGGTCTTCCAAGGACAGGCCGACCCAGGCAGACTACCAGAGTGGAAGAGAATGCCCTGGCACGTCTTGTGCGACACACAAGTGGCGTATTGAAAACCCTTTGGCTTCCAAACAGAGCCGTGAGCAACAGAACAGTGAGAAACCGATTGAAGTCGATCTGCATGAAGGCACGACGGGTAATTAAGCGTCCAGCACTAACTAATCTCCATAAAAGAACCTGTTTGGATTGGTGTTTGGCCCGACGTCAGTGGAATTTGACGTCATGGAGGAAGGTCTATTGGTCGGACGAGAGCCGCTTCTCTTTACACGTCACAGATGGCCGTCAGCGTGTTTGGAGGACCAAAAACACTGCGTATGTGCCAAGAAACATGTAGGCTTCAGTTCCGTTTGGTGGGGGTCAGTTATGGTCTGGGGATGCCTTTTCCATGACTGTAAGCTGGATCTTGTCACGGTTCGGGGGAATATCAATGGCGATCGCGACATCCGGGACATCCTTGAGCCCGTCCTTTTGATAATCATGCTTAAGCTACTCGTCCTTTATTCATGGATGACAACGCTCGACCTCACCGTTCCCGTGCTGTGAAGGAGTATCTTCAGAACAACGCCAACACCCAACATCCCTGGTCTGCTTTGAGTCCAGATATGAATCCTTTAGAACAAGTCTGGGACATTATTGGACATCGAATCCAAAAACTGGAACCTCGTCCACAGAATCTTGTTGGTTTAGAGGCTGCATTGCATCGTGAGTGACAGCAGCTGCCTTTGGAACGAATTCGACGACTCACTGGAGGCATGAGGGTAAGGGTTGACGCCGTCATCCGGGCTCGTGGCAGGTACACTCGCTACTGACATTTTGTTGGTGATTTGTCTTCTTGATACCTCACAGAACCCTTACAGGGAGAAATGAACTTATCTGTGCCTTTGTCGAACTTCACAGCACCAAAGTTATATCGTGGACAAGTTTTGCTGAAATTCCCACTTCAGAATCACATGTCTGAAAAAGATTAAAACATGTTATCATCTTTTACCATTGTGTGTTATTC